TTTAGGTTACAAAAGTACTTAAACAATTAAATTTGGAAGGTACTAACTAGTTTTGCACCATTTTTATGTGGATATTTTGGGAAAATACTACATTAAAATATAAAATTAGAAATAGAGATCGCCTCATGATCAGCAGCTGTATTTATCCACTGCATATTGTAGTTGATTTCCATGTCAGAAAACAAAAACAAAAACACATTGCCAAGAGCCTTAACTACCTAAATAGGTATCCTTGGAGGGGAGACCTCCTTCAACTGCTGCTCCAAAAGTTGATTTCAGTTACTTAGAAATGACTTTAACACGCAAGGCCAACATTTTAAGTCAGTCACAGTGTTTTTCTCTGAGGAGCACCTGGTGTCTTCAGAACCCTTCTGAACACAGCGTTTTTCTCTGAGGAGCACCTGGTGTCTTCAGAACCCTTCTGAACACAGCGTTTCCAAGGCAGCCGCTGCCAGTCCGTTAGCCTTGGCTGGAGAAAGGAAACCACTCTCTGCCTTTCCCTCCTTAGATGCTGGTGGTTTTTAGGGACCCAGTGCCCGCAAGGCAGAGTGGTGGCCACTAGATGGCATGAGTGCTTTGTCAAGAGAGTCCTTAAGGCCCAGGTGTCTCTCTAATCTGTTCCCTTTGAGGTAGTTATACACCTAAATATCCCAGGTAGTTTTTAACCACTCACAGCGGCTGTTGACTTATTTTCTCAGTCCAGCTGGTGAAAACTTATCCCTGTACCCTTGGACTTGATGTTCAAAGACTAGAAGTCTAAGGAAGAAAATCTGAGCTTATATTCTTGTCATGCCTTGTTGCTAGAGACCATTTTTATCTTTTGATATCTGCAGTATCAAGTTTCCCGTTTAATGTTGCTTCCGTCTTATTCCAGGAAGATGCTTTTCCGAATTCTCTTTTTTTTTCTCGTATTCAATTTTTCTGAGCCTTGGTTTCCTCATTGATAAAGAGGAGTTAAAGATATACACTCCAGGAGATTTGTTGTAAAGGTTGAAAGTGATTTACTTAAAATACTATATATTTTGGGACACCTGGGTGGCTCAGTCAGTTAAGCTTCTGACTTCGGCTCAGGTCATGATCTCAAGTTAGTGAGTTCGAGCACCGCATTGTGCTCTGTGCTGACAGTTCAGAGGATAGAGCCTGCTTCAGATTTTGTGTCCCCCTCTCTTTCTGTCCCTCCCTTGCTCATTCTCTGTCTCTGTTTTTCTCTCTCAAAAATAAAAGAATACTATATATTTTAACATATCAGGATTTTTTTTTAGCATTTTAATAGTATCATTGCCCAATTTTGGATGTTACAGGCACACTGTATACTTTTTTTTTTAAATATAGGACAGAGTTTAGGAACTCCCTTTCCTTTATTTTTGTTAATTAATCTGAAAAATTCCATCATTGACTCCTCAATAACTTATTTTTGCATTTCTTGATCTGAGTTCAGGAGTACAACATTTGTATTTGTGATTGTAAAAAGCTTTTATTTTGGTTCAGCCCCCCTTGAAAAGCTAAACTGTTCAACGTTTTATCCTCTATGGACTGTTTAAGCTCTGGCAGTGCTGCTCTTGGGGTAGCATTTGAGTGCCCTTAAGTGCTACTATTATTTTCTACACTGTTTTAATTTTTAGGTGTCAAACTATTTCTTTTTAAAAAAAATTTTTTTAATGTTTATTTTTGAGAGTGAGAGACAGAGCATGAGTGGGAGAGGGTGACACAGAATCTGAAGCAGGCTTCAAGCTCCAAGCTGTCCGCACAGAACCTGACACAGGGCTTGAACCCACGAACTGTAGATCATGACCTGAGCCAAAGTTGGACACTTACCTGACCTAACCACCCAGGCACCCCTGTAAAACTATTTCTGCTTTTTCTGTACTATTAGAGTGCTTCGCCTTAACCACATTATTACTGGTTTACCTATCCATCTACCTCCTTAACTTAATGCTTTTCCTGATGTCTCTGAGTGCTAAGCACATAGTAGGCACTAAACGTTTAATGTGTTTACTCTGTATCACTGCTTATTAATAAAACACTATTCCATAGAGGAGAAAACAATAAGTTATCTTGTGGCCTTTATATGTTCCTTGGTTATTAGGGCTAGTCATCAGTTTGAGATGTTAAGCCTTAATTGGAACTATAAGTACTGTGAATAAATTTAAATGATTGTGGATTCCAAAGATAATGTTTCCATTTCACATGCCTCAGTCTCCTTTTCTCTTTACCAACAGTGTAATCAAGGAACAGGGTCTTATTTAAGCTAACAAATAATTATCCTTCATTACATAAGTACTATGTAACTTGACCTTAAAAGGCTGCTTAACTTGACAAGATGGCAATGAATCTAGCCACCAGCTGTGTCTACTTTCACAACTTGGTACCTGTGAATAGGAGCTGATTTGGGAAGAGGCTGGGGAAGTCTTTGCCTCACTCTTCCCTCTCATCTGGAACGTATTGGTGATTTCAGGCCATGGAACTGCATGGTTTTGCACAAATTCTGATTCCTGTTGGGTTCAGAGTGCATTTAAAATCTGGGCTTCTTGCTTGCAGACTACAAGCTATTTAGACATACATTTTCTGAGATGTATTCATTGCTTACCTCATCTTTGAGTATTACTAAAACTGGGTAAAAACAAAGCTTGAATATGAGATGTGGATGATATATGATGAGATTGTTGGGAAATGGATAATATATTTTAATAATTATACGTAATACAAATGAACCATTGCGACTTAAAAAAAATCACACATAAGATTTCAGTAAACATTTCTTTTGGGGGTTGGAGTGGTTAAGAATCGAGCATGAAACAGTGGAAAGAGCAGCAAGAGAAAATAAAATGTTAGGTTTAAGTTAATATACAAATTAAAAAGTTTCACTGTGTTGAAGGTAAAGATATTGGGTTAAGAAATATGTGTGGCAGACAAAGGTGTGTTATTTTTGACGTATGAATAACTCATCCCTTGGACCAATAATGAGGTACACTAAAATAAATGCAGTGTTACAATTATTGTGAACAATGATTATTTTAAAAAATGTGATATGCTGGACATGCTTCTGAGGGCTTGCCATGTATTTTAGTCCTCATAATAATTCTTTGAGGTGGATGCTATTATTATTTCATTTTACAGATGAGGAATCAGAGACACAGGGAGGTTAAGGAACTTGGCCTTGCTTGCATAGCTAGTAAGTAGCTAGTAAATTGTGTACTGTTTCTGTGAATGCATGGCTCTCTTTTTTTCCCCATGAGTGTGGGTCTGCAGTCCATTCTCTCTGTCTCTCTTTTTTAAACGTTTACTTATTTTTGAGAGACAACTTGAGCTAGGGAGGGGCAGAGAGAGAGTGGGAGAGACAGAATCCGAAGCAGGCCCCAGGCTCTGAGCTGTCAGCTCAGGGCCCCATGCGGGGCTCGAATCCACAAACTGTGAGATCATGACCTGAGCCGAAGTTGCTGAGCCACCCAGGCGCCCCTGCAATCCATTCTCTTACCCACTATCGCATGGTGCTTAAAATAGGCAAAGGACGAGAAAGGAAGTTTTTAAGAAGAAGAAATAAAGTGACTCAAAAGCATGACAGATTTTCACTTTCACTAATGCTACGAATGGAAATTAAAATGAAAATGAAATACGACTTTCTGTTATGAATGGAGTGTGGAGAGTAAACAGTTTTCACGGAATGGTGGTAGGAATGCATTGCTTCCAGTATGGGGTTGGGGTGCTTGCTTATTTCCTCTGGTGCCAGCCACTAGCCCTTCCTGGCAGAGGCAGGGCGGTTAATGCTGCAGGGCTGAAGCTAAAGGTCTCCTGCTTGAGGCAGCCAGGAAGGTGTCATTGCCTTGGTCACTCTTCTGGAAAACTCTGTGTAGAAGATACTGCACAGTCAGGTTTTTCAACTGTAGGTGTGCAGTTGGTTGCATTCCTGGCTCTAAGACCATCGTGTGCATGGCTGTCCTTTCTCAAAATGAGTAGGGTCTGGCCAGTGACAACCGGATGCACGTATAAGAGGATGATTGAAGCTTTTAAAGGCTTTCTTTTGAGACCGTCTCACTGAAGAGCTTGCCAGGGCTTCGGCTTTGATAATAGAATTGAAATTGTAAGTTTATTGTGGCTTTAGGAAATCAGAAATTTCATAAAGCCTGTGCTCAGTAGCCTCAACTGTGGACAAATGATTCTTGATGTTTAGCTTGGTATGAGATGCAGGGAATGCAGGTCTACGTTCTTTATTCAAACTCAGTAAATGGTTTGGGACAATTAATTTCCAATTGTTTCCCAGTAGAGCAGATTTACTTGTATATTAATGAGGCACAGGTGTTCGGCCCCTGGTGTCTGCATGCCTGGGAGGCATATTTCAGTTGTTTATCTACTCAGCCATAGGTACTGCAAGGTACTCAAGCTTGCCTTTAACAGTTTTTACAGTGAGGCTTTTTCATTTTTTGATGTTTTTTTCAAATTTGCCTGCACCTGTTAAAATTTTAAAACTGATCATGTAGAAAGAAGTTGCAGAGATTTCAGTAGTAAATAGCACTAAAAGGTAAAGAAAGTAGTCTTCTATTACATTTAACTCCCCAGCCTGACACTAAAGAGAAGTGGGCTCATTGAAACAGATATTTCATGTGAGAAGCCAATCTGATCAACAGTACCCTGTCTGTTGTGTATTTTTGCAGCAGGTATATCGTTGTCAGTGGCTAAAGCAGTCATATATTTATATTAATACTCATTTTTTTCTTGTTTCACTGAACTGCACTACCAGCATTTTAGAGGAAATGGAATAGCCTCCGTAGACATTATGAATTTCAGAAGCTGGCTTAATTATAGCGATCTACATATTCATTAAATCTACAGAAGAACTCTGTCCAAAAAGACAGCCATGCGTTTAGAAACAGTACACAACTAAATATATACGTTTTAAAAGTTGCATTTCTTAGACTTATTTAAAATTAATTTCCTGTGGCACTCCTCTCCAAGCAGAGAATTTTAACAAAAGGATCCCCGTGCTTTTGGTTTCTTGCATATAGGAAAGAATGGGAAGAACTATTTGTAAACAACAATTACTTGGCAACAATAAGGCAGAAGGGGATTAATGGGCAGCTGAGAAGCAGCAGGTTCCGCAGCATTTGCTGGAAGGTAAGAAGAAAATATTTATTTACAGTTTGTGGTTGCAGTATATCAACACATTACCTGATGCCCTCGGAGATTACCCATGCAGGGGATCACTGAGTTTTCCAGAAGACTTCACTCTCTATTTTTTGGCCATCCATGTTTATCTTTCATAGGACATTTACTAATAAGGTTGAACCACCTTAGTCCCGAATAACTGGTGACGATGAAGGAGTCATTTGAAATAACTATTCTCTCATCTCATTTGATGGTGTGGAATTCAAAGCAACACCTTTCCATTCCCTGGAGGCTTTTGCAGAACTCCTCCAAGCTGGGCAGGAGCACAGGCGGGTTTACTTTCAGGTTTCTGTTGTATCCAGTGCCGCCGCGGCCGTCATCGAGGCACCCTCCCTGTTCACTGCAGAAACAGCAGATGGAAAAGATCTATCTGTCTGTCTGTCTGTCTGTCTGTCTTTCTTTCTTTCTTTCTCTCTTTCTCTCTTTCTCTCTCTCTCTCTTTCTCTCTCTCTCTCTCTCTCTTTCTCTTTCTCTCTTTCTTTCTCTTTCTCTTTCTCTTTCTCTTTCTCTTTCTCTTTCTTTCTCTTTCTTTCTCTTTCTCTCTTTCTCTCTCTCTTTCTCTCTCTCTCTCTTTCTCTCTTTCTCTCTTTTTCTTTTCTTTTCTTTCTTGTTCTTCTTTTCTTTTTCTTTCTCTTTCTCTTTTTCTTTCTCTTTCTTTCTTCTCTTTACTAGAAACACAAAGTGAAGGGCAGCAAGAAAGAGAAGTGGAAGAAAATTAGGTCAGTCTCCAACGAGAAAGGGCCACTGATTACCAAAACTAGTAATAATCTGTAGTTATCTTTTTAATTGCTTGGAAATATTGTCCCTTTTTGTTCTCTCACAAATGAATTAATTCAGGTTTAGACTTATTTCTGAAATGACTTCTATTGAAAGTTTTTTAGGTTTTATCTGCATAAATTGAGCATACAGAGTCTGTGCAAGTAAAGACAGTAAGAAACACATGATGTATTAGACAGTTTTAGATTTAATAATTTAGATTTAGTAATTAAAATACATTTTTCTTCTGTTAGATGCAGGCAGTAAAAGCAGGAGACCCGCTGCTAGAGTATTTGTATACAGTATTTGTGCCCCACCCCCCACTCCTTGTTGTTTAACTTTCAGTATCATTTGTTTGCTAAAAATAAACTCAAATCTAGATTTTTTTAATGTTATATTAAACTAAATCAAATTTATCTTTTAAAGAATGCTTGTTATTTTCATAAGCTGGTCGCCAGTTGCAGATTCCATTTCTGTTGTAAAAGGACGGACTTCACCTCTCACTGTGCCTCCAGGTGGTTCTTCTCTGCCCTTTACCTGTCTGACTTAAGACAAATCAAACCTGGAGATGAATGATTGGGCCTGTGCCTGTCAGTAGTCCATTAACATAAGACGTTAAGATGGGAATTATGCTGGAACCTCAATGAATTCTTCTTGTTCATTTCTAATATAAATCTGGAGGGGAGGTTGATTGAATTTTGTCTTGTAGTTTTTACCATCTTGTTTTTTTGGCGTTTATTCACTTTTTAAATTATCCAAATATATATATCCAAATATATATATGTATTTCTTAAACATTCCCAAATATACTTTATTGGGAATTGGAATTATATGAATATGAAATACCATGAATATGAATATCTCTTTCAAATTTCAGGTGACTCTGTTTGGCATAGCTTTACATGTTACTTGTTATGATTGTTAAAAAAGTTTTTTTTTTCTTGACAGCTGTTTCTTTGTGTTCTTCCTCAAGATAAAAGTCAGTGGATAAGTAGAATTAAAGAATTAAGAGCATGGTATAGCAACATTAAAGAAATAGTAAGTTGTAATTTAATTAATGTAATTGTTTTCTTATGTATGCTTTAAAGTCCAATACCCTCTGATCTTTGTGTGTGTTTTCACTCTTTCTTTGCCAGCACATCACAAACCCGAGGAAGGTTGTTGGCCAGCAGGATTTGATGATCAATAATCCCCTTTCACAGGATGAAGGGGTAAAGTTCATCTTTATTCATATCTCGACTTCTTTTTGCCCATAAGAATATGCTTATGAGACTGGTTATCAATCACCATGAAAGCAATGTTTTTTCATGCCAACTGATTTTTTTTAACTGTATACTGTGTGACCAAAAACCTGATGGAAATTATTCTATGCTATATTCATCGTGTGTTGTAGGAGGTTTATGATGTATTTCTGTGGAAATGGCACGAGGACGGAGTCCCAGTGGACCAAAAGAACTCCGTCTAAAACAGAAGAGCGTACAGAGGAGGATAGAACTGTTTTCTCAAGCTTGGAGTGGACAGTGGGGAGGCTAGAAAACCTTCTCTTTATGATAACAATAGATAAGGCTTCACTTGGTGGGTCTAATTCCAAGAAGAAAACTAACTAACTATTAAGAAGTTTTTAAAGAGGGGCGCCCGGGTGGTTCAGCCGGTTAAGCGTCTGACTTCAGCTCAGGTCATGATCTCACGGTCTGTGAGCTCCAGCCCCTCATCGGGCTCTGTTCTGACAGCTCGGAACCTGGAGCCTGCTTCAGAATCTGTGTCTCCCTCTCTCTCCGCCCCTCCCTTGCTCGCGCTCTGTCTGTCTCTCACTCTCTCTCTCTCTCTCTCTCAAAAATAAACAAACATTAAAAAAAATTAAAAATTAAATTACAAAAGAAGTTTTTTTACATTAAAAATATTAAAAAGAAGTTTTTAAACATAATGAAAAAGATCAGCCTGTCTCCACTCATATTCCAGTGAAGACTAAGAATAATTACTGCTTGAGAGGTATTGTATGTCTTCTTCAGTTGCTGCTCTTAATTCCTGTTTCCCTGCTAACATAAAGTATGTTCCAGCTAATATCTAATGTTAGTGTTTCTTTCTTTTTCTCCTAATACATATAGTTGTTATAATATAGTCTATAGTAAAGCAGCATAAAATATTAAGTAAGTTTTAAAACTTATATTCACATTTTAAAAAGTAGCTAAAAATCTATTTGATCATAAAAACAAGCTTTGTAGAAAGACTCATGTGTCTTTCTTAGTGCATTGGGAGTTCAGGTGAGGTTCAAGCTGAGACCAGTTGGCCCATGGCCCCACTGTAACCCAAGCAGACCTTTTTGTTGTTCTAAGGGAAGTAGTGGTATATGGCAGAAAAGCTATCAGTCATTTTCTATAGATAATATAAAAATTTTAAATATACATAATATACTGTGCGCTGTATATCACTGGAAAAATTGATGGTAGTATAAGAATGTGTTTCTGAGATTAAACTAGTTTTTAATATTTTTATTCCAATTTCAAGTTTCCTTTGCAATATGAAATGATAACTCAGAGAAGGATAAATTTGATTGTTTGAATTATTAAATTGGTATCGTAAAAATCAAGCAAAGGTGTAAGATTTTTTTAAATAGGTTGTTTTCCTTGTTTCAGAGTCTTTGGAACAAATTCTTTCAAGATAAAGAACTTCGATCAATGATTGAACAAGATGTCAAAAGAACGTATGTAGAACTTTCAGTAATACAAATTGATGTTACCTCTGTAATTTTAGCAAAATACAAAATCCATAGAGAAGCTCTAATTGAATGCAGTATTTTCCTTGTGTTAAGAACAAAGTTTTTTTTGGCCATTACTGATAGTAACAGTTATTTCCTATTCTTAAAATATAGATTTCTCTTTCCTCTTTTTCAAAATAAATTATAATATTGATAATCTTAAAATAATATTTAGTCCACTCTTCAGTTTTAACAGTTGTGAAGTCATGTGCTTCCGATTAAGGTTATATTACGTAGTCATAATACTGGTATTCCTAGAGAGATTTGTCTCTTGCTTTACACTGTTGAATCCCTTTCTAACCAAGTTACTTTTTAAATGACAACTATTATTTTTACGCTTCTTATTTCTCTCTCTTGAAGTCGTTCAGGTTTGCAAACAAACTCTTCTCTCAGTCTACTTAGTATTTCCTGTGTGAAAAAGTTATTTACTTAGCACATAGTTAATATCTGTAACTTTTATACATTAGGCGTCATTTTTTCCTGGATCATATAGTGAGAAGTGCGTGGCATTTGTGTAGAAAGGTCCTGGGATAAGTTCTAGCAACATATGCTATAATCTTAGGCAGATTACTTTCAAATAATGTTTTTCCTCCCCAGTATCCTTTTCTGTAAAATGGGAATATAGTTAACTGCCTCAAAGGATTGTTGTAGATTAATAAGCATATGTTGTAATGGTGGTATTTAGATAGGTTTACACTTTACACTATAAACAATTACGTAAATGTTAGTGAATTTAACCATTGGGATCTAGGATGTGCCATGGATTTGCAGAGTCGTGGGTATCCCTAGTGCCTTCTTCCCCGTCCTGCTGCAGCCGTGCCTGTCTGCCCCACTGCTGGCTCAGTTCCTGCTAGACCTATTACAAAACAAAGTCAAGGCCTCTGGTTCTCTGACATCCCTCTCTTTCTAGGTCCCAAATACAGAATAATCAGATGACACAGACTGCTATTAAGGTTATAGTATATACTGGACAAATCACATTTTCTGTTTTAAAATGAAAATCAGTGGAGGGATGCCTGGCTGGCTCGGTCAATAGAGCATGCAGCTCTTGATCTCAGGGTTGTGAGTTCAAGCCCCATGTTGGGCCTAGAGCTTACTTGAAGGAAGGAAAGGAAGGAAGGAAACAGTGGAGTGGAATCATGCATTCAGAGTATGACAGAACTGTCCATAAGTGGCAGTGATGGCAGGTTGGGGAGTGAGAGGTATGGGATCATTTTGATGAGCTGAGTTATCTAGGTAACCAAAGAGTAGCCGATAATAGGGGAGCTGCTCTCAGAGGAGCTGGGTGGCAGTGCTTGGCCTCTAGTATGTATTTTCACAAAGTAGATGCCATTATTTTGGTGCATAGGAGACACTCAAATATTTGTCAGATGAAACAAAAGAATGAATTCCCTCACCAATGCTTTCAGTAACTGTATAACCAGTGGCAGTAAAGCAGGCTTCTTAAAAACAAAATACATGGTATACATTGTTGACCAAACAGTAAAGGTATCCCTTTTTAAAAATATTGGTAGACAGGTGTGACTGGGTGGCTCAGTCGGTTAAGTGTCTGACTTCGGCTCAGGTCATGATCTCATGGCTGGTGGGTTCGAGCCCCGCATCGGGCTCTGTGCTGACAGCTAGCTCAGAGCCTGAAGCCTGTTTCAGATTCTGTATCTCCCTCTCTCTCTGACCCTCCCCTGCTCACGCTGTCTGTGTGTGTCTCTCTCTCTCATTCTCACTCTCTCTCTCATAAATAAAAATAAAACATTAAAATATTTTTTAAAAATATTGCTAGGCAGTTATCTTAGGAACTTTGACATCTTCATCTCTAAGTGGCTGATCAGAAGGATTATGATCAATCTTTCTGCTGTTACCAAATGAAAATAGAGGCACCATGGCACTGGAGCAGAGTCACACGCTCAGAGGCCCTGTCAGCCACGTTGGCTAAAAGACGGAGCAAACAAGAGAAGAGGAAAACAAGTTCAGACAGACAAACCACTTAGGAAGTGGCACTGAGAGCCTGTTGATCATTTTAGTTACTTAGCGCAAACAATTCTGCTCTGCTGTGTGGGAAAGTGTTATTTCTCGGACACTATATTCTTGGAACTATTTTGTTTTAGATTTTCTATGTATTTTTCATATAAAAATGTGTGTGCGTGTGTGTGTATAACACATACATGGGACGTTTTTTTTCTTAAAATTGGTCTCCACTGGTACATTTTAATTCAGTCTGCAAGCCCGAGATTCAGGGATGGTAGTCAGGAGACCCTATAGTTCACAGCACAGAATGGAGGGAGTACGTATCTCCTTCCCCAGAGGCTCTCCTGTGACTCTTCTCCACATTTAGAATAAGCCAGTCTCCTTGCCATCTCTATATAAAGTCTATGGCAAGTGCCTTAGCTTGTAAGGAAAGACTGTCAATCTCACTTTAAGCCACCAAATTGCCTAATGATAAAAGCTGAACAGCTTGAATAATTTTACTACTTTAGGTAATATACTGTTTTTGTAAGGCACCACATGACCTAAAATCCAAGGTTTTCAATCCAGTCTGTAAAGCCCCTTGTTATGCCATAGGGGAAGAAAGGAAGAAATACAGCTCAGTGAATGTTATGTAGTGTTACTCATTCGCTAGCATCTGTGACAAGAATTTTGTTTCTTGAAATGTATGTTTACTGAATGTCTGCTGTGTACCAGGCTTATCTTTTGCATTGTGGGAACAGAGTGGTGAATAAGACAAGGTCTTGCTTTCATGGGGTATACATTTTAGTGTTGGAGGAGTGGGGGTGGGGTGAGACCATCAAAGAAGATGATTAGGTGATTGTAGAGGGTGGTAATTGCTGTGATGAAATAAAGCAGGGTGATAGGATAGTTAGAGGGATGGCTGTGTAAGGAACAGTGATTAGAAAAGGCATCTCTGAGATGACGACATTTGAGCTGAGACGTGAAAAATTTTTAAAGCCATCCTGTGAAGATCTAGGGAAAGAACATTACAGGCCGAAGGAACAGTTAGTGCAGAGTCCCTTAGTGTGTGGCTCAATTTTGAGAAACTGAAGGGGGGCAGGTATGGCTGGAGGTAAATGATTTAAGAGGGGAAATCTGAGAGAAGGCAGATGTTTGCCAAGCAGTCCTGTGAACTGCAGTATTGAGTTTGGGTTTTACTGCAGTTGCCATGGAAGCCATTGGAGGATATTGAGCAGAGGTGTGATATCTAAAATGATCATTGTGGCTGCTGTGCAGTGGGGTGAATATGGGTCCACACAGAGGCTGGGAAAGTTGCTAGGAGTCTTGTGGTATTCCTAGTTAAGTAGTGTTAGTGCCTTAGACTAAAGACGTAATAATAAAGATGCTTAGGAGTAGATAGTTTGAGGACATGCAGTTTATATTTTTAAATATGGATTAGAGGGTCATTCTGTGTAGTTTTCTCATGTTCAATCAGTTCTCTTCCATTTTCACTGCTCTGTGTCAGGTCCTTTTTTTACCTCTTACCTGGAATCTCTCACTCGTTTAATTTTCTCTGCAGATCTGTTCTCTTCCCTCCCCAGTCGAATCCATGTGTTCCAGCCTTATTTACTCAAAGCACACTTCGAGTCATGCTGCTTGCGGAATCTAAAGCCTTCTATGACTCTTTGTGATCTGCCAAAGAATGGCCTTACCCAGACCCCCTAACACACAGACACTTCTCTTTGAGAGTTTACCAATGCTTTCTGTTACTAATGTCCAGTTTAACTCCTTTGTGGTCTGAGAGCAGACTGCATGATTTTCCTCTGCCAGATATTGGTTAAGTTGTGTTTTGTGGTCCAGAATGTGGTCCCTCTTGGTGAATGTTCCATGTGAGTTTGACAAGATTGTGTATTCTGCTGCTGTTGGTTGAAGAAGTACGTAGGTATCAGTATATTAGTAGCTTGATGATGTTGAGCTCACCTATGTCCTTCTGATTTTCAGCCTGCCAGATCTGTCCATTTCTGATGGAGGGATGTTGAACTTGCTAACCATGATAGTGTATTTTTAAATTTCTCATTGCAATTTCATTAGTTTTTGCTTCATACAGTTTGATGCTCTGTTGTTTGGTGGATACATGTTAAGGTTTGATATGTCTTCGTGGAGAATTAATTGACCCCTTTATCATTAGGTAATGCCCTTAAAAAATCTTCTCATTAGCATCAGCATGATATATTTTTCTTCATATATTTGCTTTTAATCTAAATGTATCTTTATATTTAAAGTTTATTTATTTTGAGAGAAAATTTGTGTATGTGCACGCATAGGGGAGGGGCAGAGAGAGAGGGAATCCCAAGCAGGCTCTGCACTGTCAGCCCAGAGCCCTGATGTGGGGCTCGATTGATTATCTGAACTGTGAGATCATGACCTGAGCTGAAATCAAGAGTCGCTTGACCAACTGAGCCACCCAGGCACCCCTAAAATGTGTCGTTATATTTAAAGTGGATTCCTTCTGGGCAGCATATGTAGTTGGGTCGTGTTTTTGATCAACTTTGACAGTCTGTCTTTTAGTTGATGCATTTAGACCATTGACATTTAAAGTGATTATTGATACAGTTGGATTATTATCTATTATTCTTTTCTGTTCGTTACCTTGTTCTTTGTTTCTGTTATTGCCTTCTACCCTTTTTCTGCCTTTCATAGTTTTAACTATTTTATATTATTTCATTTTCTTTCCTTCTTAGCATACCAGTTATACTTCTTTTACTTTATGACAAAAAAAAGTAATCTTAATACTTCCCTCCTATCCTTTGTAACATTTCTGTTAATCATTTCCCTTATATATAAACATATTCATACCTATGTATGTTTGTATATATACGCACACATATAAGCATACATAGTTGAATATATTGTTGGTATTACTATTTTAAACAAGTAACTATTATATCAATTGAGAATAAGAAAACTAAAAGTTTTTACTTTTAGTAAAACTAAAAGTTTTAGTAAAACTTTTTTAGTTTAGT